ATATAACCCTATTCTTCACTTATTCCAAACTACGTATATTTCAGCGAACTTGTTCGTTCGTCGAGGCTATCGCGGTTACCGCTCGGCCGAACGACTTCCCTTCGAAATGTATAAACTCGTATGTCTCACCTGTAATACTGCCTACACTGTGGCCGGTATTCAGAGTCGTTGCTTATTCTTAAGACATTGTACAGGGAACAGGTGCTTAAGCAAATGCTTAAGACAATCTTAAGAATAAGCAACGACTCTGAATACCGGCCTGTGTCTACGCTGCGGTGGAAGTCCATTCGATTCTTGTCTATGCTACGGTGGAACCGAACGGGGTAGATCTCTGCTAAAAAGGTGCTGGAATATGCTACGGTGGACGTTCTTTCCAAATTCGCCGCGAGGTGCAGCACTTTCGTTGTGGTCCCAAGGGTCCCAAGCGAGAACAAAGCCATGAGCTCTCTCATTTTCTCTTTGATTGAAATGTACATCAATCAGAGAGAAAAATGAGAGTGCTCAAGTCCGGGTTTTCCATGGACTTAAAGGACGGTGCCTAAAGTGTGATTATGGGCGAGGGGTAGGGCTCCCAACGGCATGAAGGGGAAAACAGCTCTGTTTGAGCCCACAAGTGGTGTCCTTAGTGCGGTCCCGCCTGATTTTGAACATGCTTATTCGTCTGATTCGCCTGGAACATGGATGTTGAATATGTGAATTGTCAGTGCCGTCATGATATTTCATGAGACAATCGTAATGAAGTAATGACTTTTCAAAACAATAATTTTGAGATGCATAACATGAAGTGTTACATTATATTTTTAGGAACATATATATAAATAGCAGAGCACATAGAAAAGAAATCGAAAGATAATCGCTAGGTTACGTACCAAAGGGTTTATTTTGAAAAGATTATACATATGCTGAATACAACACAAAGGTATACCGTTAATAGACGTAGTTTATTCTCTCACTGCTTTACAGGTACAATTGTAAGACCAATTTTAATTCTTACAGTAGCATATGGAGAGGGTTCAGTGTCGGGAAGGAGCAATAATGAATCAACACATGTAAGTACGTCGATAATACAAGCTTTATTCTCTCATTACTTTACACGTACGATTCTAAGACCGTTCTTAATTTTTACAGAAGCATATCCAGAGGATCCAGTGTTCGGAACAAGAAATAATGAATCAACACTCTTAAGTACGTCGATAATACAGCCTTTATTCTTTCACTACTCTCATTATAATTGTAAAACCGATTTAATTTTTACAGGAGCATATGCAGAGGATTCAGTTATGGGAAGGAGCAATTATGAATCAAGACCTGTACGTACGTCGAAAATACAGCCTTTATTCTGTCACTACTCTCTCATTCTAATTGCAAAACCGTTTTTAATTTCACAGGAGCATATGCAGAGGATTCAGTTATGGGAAGGAGCAATAATGAATCAAGACCTGTAAGTACGTCGATAACAGACACCTTATTCTTTCCGTAGTCTTTCATTATGATTGTAAAATCGTTTTTAATTTTTACAGGAGCATATGCACAGGATTCAGTTATGGGAAGGAGCAATAATGAATCAAGACTTGTAAGAACGTCGATAACACAGCCTTTATTCTTTCAGTACTCTCTCATTATGATTGTAAAATAGGTTTTAATTTTTGCAGGAGCATATGCAGAGGATTCGGTGTCGGCAAGGAGCAATAATGAATTAACACCTGTATGTATGTCGGTGGTGCAAGTTTCAGTACTTTACTCTTATAATTTTGAAACTGTTTTTTATTCTTTACAGAGGCATATGCGGACGATCCGCCGTCGGGAAGGAGGTACAATAAATCATCACGTGCGCGGTGCCTGAGTTGGCCGAAGTTAATGGACTATCGAAGGCGGAGAGATTGATTCGTCATTGATTAAATTGTGTTTCGGTGTTTGTAAGAGGACTGATTAAACTTTTATATTTTCACAAAGTACTGTTTCTATTTTTGTTTCCTTATGCCCGTCCTTCTTTTCTTGCTTTTAATGGAAGATAAGCATATTATTCGAATGGTCTACACGTAAAAGTACGTACAGTGGCAATACAATTGAAATTTAAGCTTGACATTTCAACGCAGAGTTTAACATTTGGAAAGTGTAAATAGTTTTCGTCACTTTCAATTCGCTCTATTAACAGTATTGTTGGCCATTACGTCGGGAGGATTGTTTCTTGCATAGTAAATCACATTACATTATATGATACAAATTTATTTTCTATTTTTACCCAACTGTTTCCAAAGGATTCAGCACTGGGACAGAGGAATAATGAATGAACACTTGTATGTCGATGGTAGAAGCATTATTTTTTTATTACTTCTTAAAATATGTACGTGTTCATGTGAATGCATACAATACCGTATGAAACCGTTTTCCATTATGTTTATGCAAATAATAATTATACGAATCGATAGCATCGATACTAAATATTTAAAGCCTAGTGTACAATCAGTGAAGAACGATGTATTTATTCTATCTGTAAAAAGAAGTCTGTTACTGTATTCATGATAAAGTTATTGCGAAAACTTAATGAGTTGCTAGGATGAATGAATTTTCTTGTTAGACATGCAGCCTGTCATTGAAAACATTATTTAAACGCATGCAAATGTAATGCAACGCATATCAACAAATCTACCAGAACATACTTTATACTGGGTTCCTGGAGGCAAATAAACAAAGTAGTAGTCGAAGCATGCATATTATGAGCTAATTTTTTAAGGCGCGTAAAGTACGGCTGAGTGTGGGATTCGAAAGCTTGCCAAGGTCTGGTGCATGCTTCTGACCACTTCGGCCGGCACCACTGAAAATACATTTTCGTGTGCTCAACTTTCAACCACGATCATCTGGTGGTTTGCATTCCACCTAAAATAAAGATCCACTCAGTTCCATTTTATTAACATAAACCATCACACTTCGATGCGGCACATGATACGGCATGCAACAGAAATGAAGGACAACAATTAATGTTGATGTCATTCCCAAGACTTATTGTCCTGCAAATAAAACGAGTTTATTGTAAAATACTCGTTTGCTTATGTCTCTACTTTTTATCATGCATATATAATGTACCCTTACTTTCATGTATTCATTAATTATACATTTCACTAAATGCATTCTATGATTCATCAGTGCTGACTGATTATTCGAATGTTCTACTAAACCTTGAAATAAATTCTGTATATTAAGGTGCCGTAAAACAGAATTGCGCATTGCAAGAAAATTCTGTAAGTGATCTTTAATTTCATACAATAATATAATTCTTTCACACTCCCGACAAATATTAATTACATCGCGAGAGGGGTACATTAAGCTACCACGATTTTGCGCGTTTATTAATGTATGTTCACTAGTCGGATTATTCTCGTGCAAACTACTAACACACTCCAGGCACTGTTTGCTTTTTTGTAGTTTCTTTACTACCCATCCACTTATGTACACAATAATTTTATTCCTAAATTCAGAATAAAATGAACTATTGGTACTAAGTGTACTATAATTGTGTATTTCGTTGATGTCTTCTACAATCTTCATGCTATTGTAATTTTCGACATCATTCTCACAGTTATTGAAGTCATTTTCCGCTGATGAGGAATTTATAATTTCAATGGAACTGGCTGAACTGTAGTGTAAAATGGGTACAGCATACAGTGCCGTGCAGTTCCCTGTGTTCAAAGATTTTACTTTATTATGCACAAGTAATTTTTTGAACGCAGATTTGAACTGTCGTGCATTTGGGTTATTGTTACGCCTGCCGAAACTTCTGACGCAACCGAAAAACAATTCTATGTGGTCTAAACAAGTCTATGCGAAAGTTCATTTGTAATACAAAAACTGTTATAAATTTGCAATACACTTTCAATACATATTATCAAGCCCAAGAATCCCATTTTTCTTGCAGAATCTATTTTATAAGACATTCCTCAGTTGCACGAGAATCGGCAAATTGTTGTAACATTAAATCTGTTCTACATACGTATAGAGCGTTACTTACTGATGCGCTAAAAACTTGCACTGCGTATTTCACCTTCATTTTATTTTTGTAATACTGAACATGCCGCTCATTTAATTTATTTGCTAGATGCAACTCTTCTTTTTTCTGCAATTCCTGTAGCGCAACAATATATCTCCACTCTACACGCTCATGCTTATTATTAATCAAGCATTTATAATCCCCCAATGTATTTCTCACTAATTTTACCATGTGACACGGGTCAAACATAAAATACACGTTGTTCGATGTCACAGGATGCGCGAAATACGTTTTCAAAGATGGCATTGAAAAATTGCAACCTAATTAATTACCCATCACTACATTACTTCCCGCACCGTCGCAAGTAATGCAAATAATTTTTATCCCCGTTTCATGAACGATTCGCAAGCATTGCAACACTAAACTACATTTTTGCTCTCCATTTATCTTAGCGATTAAAAAATACCCAACTGGTATTTTCCAAGCTTTATTAATCCCCACTAATAGG